TCTTTCTTTGGAACGACAAAGTACCGGCTGTAAAACCCGCTCTCTCTCTCGCTCGGCGGGACCATTTCTATCACGCGTTTCGCGAGGAGATGGAGAATTCCTTGCCTCAGCACCGGCTCGTTGTGTGCCGGAACTGTCGACATGACCACGCCATTGAACCGGGGTGGTCTGCGCCGAAACTGAAGCATGTAGCCGTTCTCTATTACATTCCACAACCAATCCGAAATGGCAGCGGCAGCTCTGTGGCCCGAGTGAATGAACCATAAATCCAGCTTGCTCTTAGCTGGTTCGTCGGGGGATTCCCACTCTAGACCGAGATCACTCACGGCCCTGGTGAGAATCCGAACGAGCTCATACTGGAACGCAGCATGTCCCTCCTCTTCAGAGCGCTCCTCTGGAGTGAGGGGCCCGAGTGTCGCTGTTAGGGACATCGCCTCATCAAGATCGTTGTCGTCCCCCACCACACCGAACGAGATAATCTCCGAAGCGCTAGGGGCGGGTCGAAGACTCTCTTCCGCAAAGCACACCGGAGAGCGCGCGGGGGGGGTGAATCGCACCTTTCTGCATGGTCGCCCACATGCGGCTGTCGTCCCACCAGCGGCTCGCTGGCAGCGGTGGAACGTTGCAGAGAGAAATCACAGAGGGCGATATTCCTCCGGGTCCTAAGCACCCGCACTGCGAATTCCTCACAGTGGAAGCCGTTCCGGCGGATGACGCAGCACGTATGCGCAGCGCGTACGCCTCTAAGATATGCTAGTCTCGCGAGTTTGTTTATAGGAGCAAAGGAAGCAAAGTTTCCTTACTTTAGCAAAGAAAAACCAGTCTCCTCTTGGTTTATATCGAAATCCTCCAACATTTTTCTTTACAAATCCTCGGTTTGTACTTTTAATTCGTGACCGGTGTTTTGTTTTGTTCTTTCTCCGCATTCGTCACTAATCACGCAACGCCGACTGACTGCAATGATAGAGCTTGGAATAGCCAGGACAATTTTTAATATAACTAAATTCGTCTGAAAGAAGAAAGTCATATACACCTAGGATGCTTCGAGGGTGAGTAAAACACAGGCTAATATTCATTTTTGGGTGAACTAACCCTTTAAGGTCTTTCCAGTTAGACTTGTTTCCTCCTACTACTGACCATGGCGAATATTTAGCCAAAGCTGTCAAACTAGTTTTGTTCAAATGGACCCACATTGGAAGCTGGAAGTGTTTTGTTAAAAACATTTTTTTCGAAGCCTGTGTTATGTAAAAAGAAAATCTTTTTAATATACAGTATGAATTTGAATGTCTATCTTCTCTTTGATTGTAAATTATTATAAAGTTGACTATAAGGCTGGAATACACACTACATGATTTTTTAAATTGGAACAGATTTTCAAATGCTAGGCGACTTTGTAAATGATTATAAAGGAAAAAACAGGCATCATATACCAAACGACTGGGGATCACACACTACCAGCGTTAAGCCAATCATTGATAGCATACTTAGCGTTAACCAGTACAGACTACAAATCATAGCAAAAATCTGCATTCCAGTGTATTCAAGCCTCTAGGAAGGTTGATCTGTTCTTAAGGTTTTTCTGTTCAATGAAATCACTTCCTGAATTCCAAAAAAATGCTTATAATTACAAAAATTGTAATATTTTAAAATAAATTTGGCTTATTGTGTAGGAATCCTTTAACATAAAACAAAATATGAAGCAAAACTAATTGTTATTGTAAGGCACTTACTATAGAAGTGAATGAAAACGCTGTAGTTTGCAAAAAGATAAAAAGTTTCTGCATATTCATCTTCCTGTATAATTTACTTTGTTCAGTCAAACACATCTGGCTGTACTGTTATCATCACACTAAGTACTAATGTTTGAATCTATGAATTTTCAAAATATAATACAATTGGTGTATATGTATATTTGACATTATCACATCTCTCTCTCTCTCTTGCATGCATCTGAGAGAGATGTCACCAAGTCTGCGGTTTTCAAGTGCACACGGTTGTCATGGGGGGGGTTGTCATGACCTGTCTGTCATGTCTGCATTCAAGCTGACTCAAATTCATCTGTGCAAGCAAGCAACATTGGTTGCAAACTGACAGCAATAAGGCACATAACACCTGCAACTATAAAGACTGCACCAGCTGCTATTCCAGTGTTAGTCTTTTTGAGCCGTTCTTCTCTGTAAAAGTTGGTGCAATCGGCTCCAACAATGAACAGTCCAATGGCAACCACACTGACAGCGATAGAGGCACAGATCAATGCTCGTGCTGCCTGGAGATCTTGAGTCAGAGCCAGGATGGAGTCATACACTTTGCACTGCATGTGAGCAGTGCTCTGCAGGATGCAGTTCATCCACAAGCCTTCCCAGAAAACCTGTGCTGTCACGATGTTTGCTCCCACGAAGGCTGTCACTTTCCACATAGGCAATGCACACACCAGGATAGTACCGCATAGGCCCAACACAGCCAGACACACAGCCAAGATTTGTCGTCTCCTCATCTTTTACGCAACAAAGGCGATTCATCTGCAATTAAAGGGAGGAAAACGTTGAAGTTGTAAGAGCGAATGACTATTGACAAAGTGAATGCTCTTCCTTGTTGTGCCTCAGGTATTGGTATTTGAACAAAGAGAAAGCAAAGCAAGGGGAGGAGACCCGTATAGAGTTTCCTGTTCAACTTGATTCTTCTACTCAGTATGTCCACGGATTCATGGAAAAATTACACAATTCAATTATTTTAAGCAATAGCTAGCCTAAATTGAAAATACTGAAATTGACATGGTTTTACTAAAGCAATGGTTCATCCAAAATGAAAATTCATGTTGTGTCCCAAATTATATTTAAACACTATGCACCCAACAGTCTAGTGTAGTATGAATTATACAAGGTTATTTTGTCATCCAACATCAGTAACACCTCCCCCTCCAATATGTAATTAAAGCTGTGACAGTTGAGTGCATAAAGTGTCCAACATTATACACTTTGTTTTTTCAATAAATTAAGTGCATCATCCACGCAATTAAAGTGCTCCTTTTATTTTTGGAATTTTCAGTATGAACACACTAGTCGCACTATTTATGCTAAAAAATGACGTAGAATAGTGCATAAATACACAAACTGGGATGCACCTTCGGTTTTTATTTACTCACCCTAATTCCAAACATGTATGCTGTTTATTTTGCATTTAATTGTTTTCATAAATCAACAGAGACTATGCCCCAAAAATGGAAGAAAATGAGGTGACAAACAAAAGTTTATTATTCGTACATGTTTTGTTCATCATGATAATCTTCACAAATTAACTTTTGAAGCCTAAATGCAATCACCAGAAGTAAAAATCTAAATGAAGGCTGTAAACAAACCACACCAAGGTTGCATTACTTGAACATCGCACTTTACAAGCTTCCACAAATGTTTTCCCAGAAGGTTTGAGTTAGAATAGTTTACAATGAGGCTGTGAAAGTAGATCAGTTTTCCTATTCAGTGCGATGATGAATAATGTCTCCGACTACCTCTGTAGTCTCATTTAGCCACTTGTTAGCAACCGCCTTTGTTTTAAAGACAACTGAAAGCTTAACCAAAAACCTACTGACTTCAGGACAATGGAACTGGAGGTGCAAAATGCTAACTAATTTCTTGGTTTTTGCCTACAAAAATACATCATTCTTCTATTCACTGATCATCTTCATTTGCCCTGCAGCTATGGCTATATGGTGCAGGTTTCACATCATGACATTTGATGTTATTAATATCAAACCTCTGGGCTGCCTGCATAAACTGCTTTGACTAGTCTTAAAAATGTAGTCATGTAATTTTTCTTTAAGACTGGTCCTAACTTTTTAAAGCGAGTTACAAAAAGGTAGATTGGTAATTTGGATCTTAAAAAAAAAAAAGACTGGTTCCTGGACCAAGTGCCATATCGGATTTGAGATGAGGCTCTTATCTAAAGCAACTCACAAATTAGGAAAATATTTCACTACATAAGCCAACAATTTTGCATTTTAGCATTTGTCGGTACTGTAACAAATCTGGCTATACGGCTTCAGAAAACGTTGCCTTGTTTACTTATGGTTGAATTTATTTGAGAATCAGTAGATCTTATTGTTGCTCTCAACAGGAGCAATAATTGCCTCTTCCTTCCACCACCCATATAGGCCTACAGCAGTGTTCCTCAAATCTTGCCCTGGAGGGCCAATGCGCTGCAGAGTTTAGCTCCAACCCTGATCAAACTCACCTACCTGTGATTTTCTAATGATCCTGAAGACATTGATTAGCTTGCTCAGGTGTGTTTGGGGGGGGGGGTGTGGCGGGGATTGATTATGATTAAATGATTGATTAAAAACCACTGTATTGTAAATAATGTTTTATAGAGGAGAAACAATAATGCACAGTATGTGGAAAATTCTCAACCTTAAACCACACACTTTAAAAAGGCTGGGTTAAATACAACCCAGTGCTGGGTAAAATAGCCCAGTTGCTGGGTTTGTCCCCATTTTACCCAGCACTGGGTTGTATTTAACCCAGCATTTTTTAAGAGTGCATAAACACATTTCATTACATCAAATACACAAAATGTCACTTTTAGCAACATCATGTGACCCCTTTTAAAACAACCCGCGGCAACCGTGATGAAGTTGCTCAATTCCCCGGGAAAACCGGACACGACCACAATAGCTTTAAGTTGTCTAATTTGGTCTGGTCTCCCTGCTACACTAATAGTAGTAAGCCATTCCTTTATGTATACATTACTTACGAGTACAATTTTAGCTGGATTATTTGGTCCCCTTCAAAAATTGCTCATTGCCCCCCCCCGCTACTGTTAGAAATGTACGCCCCGGAATACCTTTTAAAAGCGTACGCTTTTGTAATTTGTCCCGTGAACCAGACCGCAAATAACGGAAGTTCAAAGACGATTCTCAAAAAAAAAACCGGTACAGAACCAAACTGTTTGAGGAGGTTACGCTGTATAAAAATGAATCAATTAGACAAATGTAAAAGAAACAATTTATTAAATTAAAATAGTCACGCAAGACCAAGTAGTTAAAAATAAAAATTCAAATCTCTTCCTTCACAAACAGGAGAATTAACTTCGGTCAAGACAGTCTGGGTCTCACACATAGGCTCCTGGAGCAGACCTCGGAGCGGAGTATTTCACGGAATAACCACGACCGTCGCTCTTTGGGCACTGGCAACAGAGAAGCGCACCCCCGATGATCAGCAGGCCAGACGCGCCCCAGCCGATGAACAGCGACGCCCCCAGCTCCCGCTTCTGAGCCTCAGCGAGAACGGGGTTGTAGAAGTCTCTGATGACGGTGTGTGCACACCAGCAGACCGGGATCAGGCACAGAACGCCCCCCACCAGGAAGAAGACGCCGGCCGCGACCCCCACTTTAGCCTTCGCGTCCCGTTCGTCAATGCAGTTGGTGCACTTGCCTCCAGCGACGGCCAGGAGAACTCCCAAAAAGGTCACGAGAATGGAGATGATAACAAGCGCTCGAGCTGCCTGGAGATCTTGGGGCAGCGCCAGCATGGAGTCGTAGACCTTGCACTGCATCTGACCCGTGCTCTGCTGCACGCAGTTCATCCAGAGGCCTTCCCAGAAGATCTGTGCGGTCACGATGTTGGTGCCAATAAACGCCGTCACCTTCCACATGGGGAGCGCGCAGATAATGATGTCTCCCAACCAGCCGATGACCGCGAGGGCAATGGCCAAAATCTGAATGCCAGCAGATGCCATTATGTTTTTGTTAGTGTGTAAAGTAGCAGACTCTAACACATAAAACACCGATAAAGTTATTTATAGTGGCTTTTTAGAGGTGTGGTTTGTAATGTGATTTGATGCAGCTGGCCAGGGGTTCCCGCTCTTTACTCCTAATTAATTTCAGACACAAGGCTGTCTCAATTAACAAACTAAGGACATAATCATGTCATTCGCAGGTGGCAAATGTCATGTCCCCCTCAATTTTTTCGAAATTCTATCCTTCTATCAATCACTTTTTGAAAGTGATATGGAATATATGGATATGGATATAGGCCTATATATATATATATATATATATATATATGGAAATTATATCCTTTTAACAAACCACAACACAAAACACACTGTGCGATTTTTTAAAAGTCCTCTAGGATTGTACTTGTCAGACTGTACGAACATGATGATCATGTCACACTGTGGGATCTCAGTTGTTATTAATGTAAGACTGTACGACAGTCAAGACGCGTTAAAAACGGATGCGAGCAAGAAAACGTGTCCGGAGTTTTACCTTATCAACCCACACACATTCAGTGACTGCCAGCCGCATTGCACGCGGGGCTGTAATGTTGGCTGTCATTAAAAGTATATGAATGGTGGCAATACCGGCGGATTTATGCAGAATAGTGCAAGCAGCACTACACACCCACATGAAGACAGCAGCGCAACCGGAGCAAAGGCAACGAATCATATTAATTCCGTGAGTGGAGGACGAGAGCGCCGGAGTTTATGCGGTTAAGTGCTATCACAGAAACAAACATACGTTTAAAAAATGCATACAAAAAAATTAATGAAATTAAAAACACCAAGAGAAAAATATAAACCCAGGAAATCATTTAAAAAAAACATTAAGACACGAAAGTGTCTCATGCCATCAAGTCAGCCCTGGGCCCATATGCAAAAAATGTGTAGGCCCCCCCCCCCCCCAACAAAAAGACCCCCACCCGGCCCATTTTTTGTTTTTTTT